AAATTAGACCTCGCCATCCCTGGGGGGCTGCGATCAGTGAAACTGTCGCCACTTTCGAGGCCTGCTGGGGGGCCCAGCACAGTGACGGCACGGGCGGATTCAAATTAGACCTCGCCATCCCTGGGGGGCTGCGATCCGTGAAACTGTCGCCACTTGCGAGGCCTGCGGGCCCAGCACAGTGACGCCACGCGCGGACCCAAATTAGACCTCGCCATCCCTGGGGGGCTGCGATCTGAGATCGCAGCTTTCGAAGTGGCTAGGTTTGCTCAGGGGTTGTAACTAATCAGCTTTATCTAGTCCTTGTCCTGTAGCCAGTGTCCTGCGAGTCTCCCGAATTCCGTCTGCAGACATATGTAACCCTCGCTCCGTCATCGCCCCCCTTATAAAGTGTTCTACACTATTAGCGCCCCGCGTTTGCGCAGGGGTTGGATACGTCGCCAGGGTAATTTCCCAACCCTCCTTGGTTGGGTATTCGTTTTGAATAGAGCAGTGTGGTCTCCACTCCTTCCTTCCTCCTCCTCCTCCCTCCCTGCCTCTTCCTGTCTTGCCTGCGGGTGGCTGCGATCTGTGAAACTGTCGCCATTTTCGAGGCCTGCTGGGGGGCCCAGCACAGTGAGGGCGTCGCGCAGATTCAAATTAGACCTCGCCATCCCTGGGGGGCTGCGATCTTTGAATCTGTCGCCATTTTCGAGGCCTGCTGGGGGGCCCAGCACAGTGAGGGCGACGCGCAGATTCAAATTCTGCGATCTGTGAAATTGTCGCCATTTTCGAGGCCTGCTGGGGGGCTCAGCACAGTGAGGGCGACGCGCAGATTCAAATTAGACCTCGCCATCCCTGGGGGGCTGCGATCTTTGAAACTGTCGCCATTTTCGAGGCCTGCTGGGGGGCCAGCCACAGTGAGGTGCGACGCGGCAGATTCATCAAGTTAACCTCGCCATCCCTGGGGGCTGCGATCTTTGAAACTTCCGCCACTTTCGAAGACCTGCTGGGGGGGCCCAGCTACAGTAGGGCGAACGCGGCGGATTCCAAATATGCCTCCGCCATCCCTGGGCGGCTCCCGCCCACCGTGTGGGATCGGTGAAACCTGCTGCATTTGTTCGAGGCCTGCTGGGGCCCACAAAAGTGGTGAGGGCCACGGCAGATTCAAATGAGACCTCGCCATCCCTGGGGGCTGGCGATCTCTGTGAAACTGTCGCACCTTTTTCGATGCCCTGCTGGGGCCCAGCACAGAGACGCCACGGCCCAGATTCAAATGAGAACCCTCGCCATCCCTGGGGGGGGTGCGAATCCTGTGAAACTGTCGCCACTTTCGAGGCCTGCTGGGGGGCCCAGCACAGTGACGCCACACGCAGATTCAAATTAGACCTCGCCATCCCTGGGGGGCTGCGATCTGTGAAACTGTCGCCACTTTCGAGGCCTGCTGGGGGCCCAGCACAGTGACGCCACGCGCGGACCCAAATTAGACCTCGCCATCCTTGGGTGGCTGCGATCTGTGAAACTGTCGCCACTTTCGAGGCCTGCTGGGGGGCCCAGCACAGTGACGCCACGGGCGGATTCAAATTAGACCTCGCCATCCCTGGGGGGCTGCGATCTGTGAAACTGTCGCCAGTTTCGAGGCCTGCTGGGAGTCCCCTGCACATTACGCCACGGAACATATTCAAGACGAGACCTCGCCATTCCCATCGGGCTGCGATCGTGAAACTGTCGCGCACTTCCGAGGCCTGCCTGGGGCCAGCGCAGGACGCCAGGGGCAATTCAAACGAGATCTCGCCATCCCCTGGGGGGGGCTGCGATCTGGAAAATGTCGCCACTTTCGAGGCCTGCTGGGGGGCCCAGCACCAGTGACGGCCACGCGCGAACCCTCCAAATTAGAAGACCCTCGCCATCCCCTGGGGCTTGCGATCTGTGAAAAAACAGTCGCCACTTTCCGAGGGGGCGAGGCCTGCTGTGATCCCCGTTTTCGAAGTGCTAGGAGTGCTCAGGAATTGTAAATCATCAGCTTTATCAAGCCCTTTTCCTGTAGCCAGTGTCCTGCGAGTCTCCCGAATTCCGTCTGCAGACATATGTAACCCTCGCTCCGTCATCGCCCCCTAATAAAGCATCCTAAACTATTTGCGCCCCGCTTTTGCGCAGGGGTTGGGTACGTCGCCAGGGTAATTTTTGGGGGGGTCGCTCCGCGAAGGAGGTGGCATTTCCCTGCGCGACGGCGCGCGCTCGCGGCGCGCGGGGCTTTTACGATACTCGAGGTTTCGTTCTGCAGCCAAAGAGTATCGCAGCCGGTGTGTGACTGACCATATGCCGCCCGCGCTCCGCGCCATGCGCGGCGGCGCAGCTGCGTCGCGTCGGCGTAAGTCTTCGAACGCGATCTCTCGCGCCGGGGCCGGCGCGCGGCGTCGGGCAGACTCCTTGCGCGATTGGGCACCGCTCGGGCGCGCGGACGAAGACTTCCGCGTCGCCTCGGCGCCGGTCTCGGCGCGCGGGAAAAAATACGGGTGTTGGTATGTGGTGTGAAGCATTTCCCACGCGCGATAGCTCTCGCGCGCGCAGGGGAGGACTCGCGCGTCGCATTGGCGACGGTCCCGCAGAACGAACTCTCGCGAGGGGGTCGGCGCGAAGCGCCAAGCAGACTCTTCGCGCGACGGGGCAGAAACCCTAAACCCTAAACCCTAAACCCTAAACCCTAAACCCTAAACCCTAAACCCTAAACCCTAAACCCTAAACCCTAAACCCTAAACCTCGGCAGCGGTCTCGGCGCGCGATTTCCGCGCGGGGGATCGGTGCGCGGCGCCAGGCAGCTTCCTCGCGCGACGGAGTAGCGCCCGCGCGCGCAGGGGAGGATTCGCGCGTCGCTTCGGTTTCGACAAGGGCTCCCAGGAGGGCGCGAAGTTATTCGCGCTTCGCCGTCCTCCTTCCTCCTCCCCCTCCTCCTCGTCCTCCTCTTCTCCCCCTTGGGGGGGCGGCGCGAGGGCGCGAAGTTATTCGCGCTTCGCGCTTCGCGCAGCGCGAAGCGCGAACTTAGGAGCCCTTGTTTCGATCGCGGAACACGGTTTCCGAGCGTGGGTCGGCGCGCTGCTGCGCGTTACGCCAAGCAGCTTCCCTGCGCGAGTTGGCAGCGTTCGAGCGCGTGGGGGAGGACTCGCGCGTAGCATCGGCGGCGATATTGGGATGGTATTCGGCGTTGTGGTCTCGATCCGCGAACAGGATGGCGGCTCGCTGCGCGACTGGACGCGCGCGTGCTCGCGATGTTTCTGCGGACGTGGCGCAACCGCGTCGCATATGCATGCGCATGTGTATCGGTACGCGAGCATTGCGGTGTGTGTGTGCGCGCGCGCGTGTGTGTGTGTGTGTGTGAGAGAGAGAAGGGGTCTGCGTGATAAAACTGCACGGGCTTCCCAAAATCTGTCAGGCCGCGTCAGGATTCCTTGGGCGTTGAAAGACCATTAAGTGCCCCCCATGATTCCTTATGATCAGATTCTCCAGCGTTTCACGCGGTTCTTCTGGCGACGTCGCATGTGCGTCGCATGTATTGGTACCCCGCTATTCGACCACTGCGGTGTGTGTGTGTGTGGGGATCCAAAACACTGGCCTCCCCCCGAGGCCGTCGTGCTGGAAGTGGTCCGGCGGGCGATCGCCGCGCGCAGGCTGGAGGGCCGGCCCGGCCAGCAACAGTTTGAAGTGCTGAGTGCGGACTTCGTGCCCGACGCGGCCCGCGGCTCGGGAACGTCGGCCGGGGTGATTAGGTCGCGGGGAGCAGGAGGAGGAGGAGGAGGAGGAGGAGGAGGAGGAGGAGGAGGAGGAGGAGGAGGAGGAGGCGGACGAGGAGGAGCAGGAGGAGGCGGACGAGGACGAGGAGGAGGAGTAGGAGGAGCAGGAGGAGGAGGAGGAGGAGCGAGCAGGAGGGAGGAGGAGGAGGCGGGAGGAGGAGGAGAGGAGGAGGAGGGAGGAGGAGGAGGAGGAGGAGAGGAGGGGGACGAGGGAGGAGCAGGAGCGAACGACGCGGACGAGGACGAGGCGGAGGAGGAGGAGGGTAGGAGGAGGAAACCTAGGAAAAAGAGCAGGAACAGGAGGAGAGGAGGAGGGAGGAGGAGGAGGAGGAGGAGGAGGGAGAGGAGGCATGAGTCACGACGGTAGGTTGTAAGCCTCTGGGGGTTTGGGGCCCTTGGGGCCCGAGGGACCGTCATGAAATGACTGGGATAAGAGGCCAGCCCTGAGGGACGGGTCGTGATTTTCACGGGGGGTCCACACGGAACCAAGTCAAGACATCGCGTCATGCAGGAGGAGACAGGGAGGAGGATGATGATGATGATGATGAGATGATTGATGCTGAGGAGGAGAGGAGGAGGAGGAGGAGGAGGAGGAGGAAAGGGGAGGAACGAGGAGGAGGAGGAGGAGGAGGAGGAGGAGGAGGAGGAGGAGAAGGAGGCCCAGACCCCCGACGTTGAGATTTTCGTCGCACCATGGGCTCTCGAAGGTCCTAGCACTTCCCCTGGGGCGGGCTTTCCCGAGCAATTTTCGGATTGTCCTGGGGCCCCAAACGGCCGAAAACCTTCCTTCGCGCTACATTTGACAACGCGAGCGCATGTCTGTGGAGAAGGACCCTCAGATACGGGCGGTGGATTTTTTTCACAACTAGTGGTTTCGAATGTCTTGGGGCCCCAGGAACCTGACAGATCGATCCGGCTCGAAATATGGCGCAGAAAGACGGGGTCCAGAGTTGTTGCCGTGATTTTTCGCGATGTTGCATGGATGAGGAGGATATAGATGTTGTGGAGGATGATGATTAAGGGTGATGAGGAGGAGGAGTGGGAGGAGGAGGAGGAGGAGGACGAGGAAGATGACAATGATGATGATGATGATGATGATGATGATGATGCTGATGCTGATGATGATGATGCTGATGATGATGATGATGATGAGGATGATGATGGTTCTGCTGCTGCTGATGATGAGGATGAGGATTATCAGGATGATGATGATGATGATGATGATGATGATGATGATGATGATGATGATGATGATGATGCTGATGATGATGATGCTGGTAATGTTAATGGCGACGAACATGATGATAATGATGCTGATGCTGATCATGATGATGATGTTGATGCTGCTGATGATGATGCTGATGCTTATGATGATGACAATGATGATGCTGATGATGCTGATGCTGATGACGACAACTTTAATCGAGTGCCCTCTCAGATCGGTGGTGCGTCGTGGCTCTCGGGTCCCCCACCAACGAGTCGCCACGAATCGCCTGTGGGCCCCCATCCCCAGCGTTCGGGGCCAGTGATCCTCCTGTAGGCCCTCAGGGCGAAGTGACACCAAGCTGAAACTCAAAGGGTGAAGGCCCCTTTTTCCTTTTTTTCCAGCTGTTCTATGGACGCCCCCAGAGACCCATTCCCGTTCCCATGCTGTTGATGCTGTTTTTGCTGCTGATGATGATGCTGCTGCTGAGGATGATGATGATGATGATGGTGCTGATGAGGATGATTTTGATGATGATGATGATGATGCTGATGATGCTGATTATGATGTTGATGATGCTGCTGTTGCTGATGATGATGCTGATGATGCCGAGGATGCTGCTGCTGATGCTGCTGATGCTGATTATGATGATGGTGATGCTGATGCTGATGATGCTGCTGCTGCTGGTGATGATGCTGATGATGATGAGGCAGATGATGCTGCTGATGATGATGATGCTGATGATGATGCTGATGATGATGATGACGATGATGATGCTGATGATGCTGATGATGCTCATGACGATGCTGATGCTGATGATGTTGATGATGCTGGTGCTGATGCTGATGATGATTGTGATGATGATGCTGATGATGATACTGCTGAAGATGATGGTGGTGGTGGTGGTGAGGATGAGGATGGGGATGAGGATGAGGATGAGGATGAGGATGACGATGATGATGATGATGGTGATGATGATGATGGTGATGATGATGATCATGATGATGATGATGATGGTGGTGATTGATGATGATGATATGTGATGATGATAGATAATAATGCTGCGATGGTGATGATGATGATGATTGATGATGATGAGGAGGGAGGAGGAGGAAGAGGAGAGGAGGAGGCACGACGACGAGGAGAAGAGGAATGAGGATGAGGATGAGGAGGAGGAGCGAGGAGGAGGAGGAGGAGGAGGAGGAGGAGGAGGAGGGAGGAGGAGGAGGAGGAGGAGGGGGAGGTAGGGAGGGAGGGAGGAGGGACGGGAGGGAGGGAGGGAGGGAGGGAGGAAGGGAGGGACGGGAGAGGGAGGAGGGGGAGGATGAGGAGGAGGAGGAGGAGGAGGAGGAGGAGGAGGAGGAGGAGGAGGAGGCCGTAGCCATTTTGGCTCAAGGTCCGTAGTGTTTTGGCACAGGACCTGGCCTTCCTGGTGCGGGGGGGTGACGGCCCCCGAAAGTCAAGCCTCGTCACCTGGCTCAGACGAGGAGTTTCGGCGTTTCTCGCAGTTTCGGCCCGCGAGGGTTTCTTCACGCGGGGCATATGAGCAATGATGGACGCACAGTTCTCAAGGGGCCCAGAACCCCACACTGGGGCTGTGGACAGTGCGGGCGAGCTTCCAATTGGGCCTCACGGATTCAGTGCGCCTGTGGAGCTACCGCGCCGCGAACGATTGTGGACAAAGCGAAAGCCGCGGACAAGGCTGCCAGTGGGAGTGCAGGTGGAGGCGGGAAGGGCTAGCCACCTGGTCCGTGGGCCGCCAAGTTCGAGGCTCAAGCCAAGCAGATTGCAGCACTCACTTCGGAGCTCGACAGGCTGGCCAAGCATGGACCCTCTTCGTCGGGTGGGAGCCCGCAGTCGGGCCCGAAAGACGGCGATCCGAAGGAGGTGGAGGCTGAGCAGTGTCGGGAACGGATCGAGATGCTGTGCCAGACGATTCAGAATCTGGACGGGGATCGCGATAAGGAGTGCATCGAGGGGCTGCAAGCCAAGGTCAAGGAGACTCGCGAGCAGCTCCAGCGGCTCAAACCCCAGATCACCCAGCACACCAACGCGGGGCACCTGTTGGCGGAGCTGGAGCGCAAGCGGATGGCCGCCTTGCAGAAGAAAAAGGAGCAGGAGGAACTCATCACGGCTGCGCAGTTGGAGATTGGCAAGCAGGACGCGGCTGTTGCGAAGTTCGATGTGGAGATCGTGGAGGCCAAGCGGGCGCTGGCGAGCACGATTCCCGATGACGTTTTCTTCGACTGCGACGAGACAGACTTCGTGGATGACCAAGAAGTCAGGGACATGTTCGCGTCGGCGGCCTGGGAGAGGTATCATGACAAGGTCAAGGAGAAGGGAGGCCTCCGTGCTCGGGCGCCTGCTTCAGCTGCTCCTCCTGGCGGTGGTGGTGCTGCAGCCGCTGCTGAACGCGAGGCCGCCGATGCAGGAGAAGAACCTGATGACAAGGACGTGGAGACCCTGTGGCAGGCAACCAAGGGGGAGAAGCGGAACTTGCTGGAGCAGCTGCGCGCCATGGGGTGCAAGCGACCCAAGCGAGGGTGACGGCAGTTGCAGGTCAGATGTTAAGATGTCGAAGGAGGAGCCCGTGTTTCGGTTCTACTTCGCCAACATCACCAGTTACGGGGACAAGTTCAAGGACCAGATCAGAACCTGGTCTAAGGGGACGTGGCTCGAGGAGAGTGGGCCGCACCTAGTCGGTTTCGTGGAGCACCACATGATGGGGCCGAAGCTCACTGAGGCGAAGAAGGGGCTCCGCAGACAGGGATGGCGGGGAGATTTCGTTCGCGCCCAGCCTGCGATCAATGGTGGGCGCCAGGGGCACGGAGGCGTGGCAGTGTTCAGCCGTGTTCACTTACACACCACGGTTCCAACGACAGAGGAGAAGCTTTTGTTTCCAGATGCGCCGCCGCCGCTGCCGAGTCAATGGGCAGTGCAGTGGGTGAGGTTTCGCTCGGTAGATATTGCGTTCGTGACAGCCTATTTCGTGGTGGGAGTGGGCTTAGCTGAGCCCAACCTCTCTTTGTTGACGGAAATTGGTCAGTACCTTCGGCTCAAGGGTTCGCCGTTCGTGATCATGGCAGATTGGAACATGACGCTGGATGAGGTGGGGCCATCAGGTTTCGACACGTACGTTGGCGGCGAATGGATCACCGCGGGGCCCCGCCCGAATGGCGAGAGAGTGATGGATTACATGTGCATTTCAGATTCGTTGCGCTATGCTGTGAATATCTCATGGGATGATGCATCGCCCTGGGCAGCGCCGCATCATGGGATCAAGGGTGTCCTCGCCAAGTCGGCTTTCACCCTGCAGCAGAGGGTGGCCCTGGCGCCGATTCCCATCACGCCTGGCATGCATGGCCCAGACCTCCCGTGGGAGCACTTCTGCACGACAGCTGCTGCGGACGCTGAAGAGGGCATGGCGAAGCCTGGGATGCAGGAGCTCGTGGGGCGTGAGAGGGAGGTTAGCATGGGCTACATGACCTTCGCGCTGGCGGCGGAGGCTTTGCTGCTGAACAGGGAGGTGGAGACGGCGGACCGCTTCGCATCCACCAAGCGCGGCTACAAGGTTGAGGTCCAGGAGGTCCAGGTCGCCCCTCCGAAACCGAAGGGATGGATGGCCCAAACCTCGGGTGTCGCCAAGTGGGGGGCCCTTGAGGGCCGCGTGTGGGCATGGCCCAGAAGAGAAGGGCCTTCCACCTCAGATGGCAAGGATGGGACAGCCTGCAGAGACAAGTGGGTAGATGTAGGAACCTCACCCCTGTTTTGCCAGAGGAGGCGGAGAAACGCTTCTTGGACAAGCTTGATGGTGCCCAGTTTTACCATTACGAGAGCCCCCAGAGGCTTCAGCTGTTGGCCAAGGAGTGCCGACACGTTGTTTTGAGGATCGAACGTTTTCACGGGCGTGAGGCCTCCAAAGGTTTTAAGCAGTGGGTAGTCGACAGTTTAAAGAAAGGGGGAGGGGCTCTCCACCGTTGGACCAAAACGTGGGGAGAACCGACACCGACCCTCGCCCCAGCGCATGGCCCTGAGGGGGACCCCATTGTTGACCCCCTGGGGGTGGTGGCGGCCAAGGCTGCGGGTTGGGAGGCGCTGTGGTGCCCGAAGGATGGTGCCCAGGGGCCCCCTCAGGACCAGGACTGGTGGCCAGATTTCCAGGCATGTGCCCGCGAAGCGCGCGATGAACTTCCGATGCTTGATTGGCCGATTTGGAGGCCGCGCTTTCCAGTTTTAGATCTGTGATCGGGATGGGCCTCGATGGCCAGAACCCGAAGAACTGGAGCCAGCTCCCACCAGCTGGTCGTAGGCAATTGTTGGATGTGCTGCACCAGGTCGAAGATGCGATGATCTGGCCAGGCCAGGTGCGTGATAATGTTGTGCAGTTGCTGCACAAATCTCCGACGGCAGATCGCCCAATCACCCTCGCACAAGGCCTATATAGATGCTGGTCGGTGGCGAGGAGGAGGACGGTGGCGTTTTGGGTGGCGGGGGAGAGTGGGGCTCGTTTCTGGGATAAGGCCATCAGAGGGAGCTCAGCTTTAAGAGCAGCGATTTTACGCCAGTTGCAGTTAGAAGTTGCAACTCTCCAGGGGTTCTCGTGGGCTGAGATCCTGTGGGACCTGGAAAAGTTTTACGATCATCTCCAGTGTTTTGAAGTTTTTCGGCTTGGCCGAGCCACGGGCTACCCGATGTTCCACCTTTTCATGGCTATGCAAATTCATTTCGCCCCACGGAGGGTACGAGCCGAGGACTGTCTCAGCGAAGTAATCCAACCCTGGAGGGGTATCCTCGCGGGCTGCAACCAGTCTGTGGATGTGGCCAGGGTAGCACTGTTTGAAATTTTGCAGGATCTGCACGACTCATTCAGACCCCTCCAGTTTGATTCTTGGGTGGACGACTGTTCGCAGCGGGTGGTTGGGCATGCTAAGGAGGTGGTCTCGAAGAGTGTGCAGGTAGGTAGGAAGTTCTGGAGGCTTTGTAGGCAAGGCGGCTTGAAGGTCTCGGCAAAGAGCACCCTCGTCAGCTGCCC